TATATATATATATATATATACAAAATCCTTAACTTTCCAAAATTGGTCCAGACAGTGGGCAATATTTCAGTCACAGACGTTACTTTTTGTAGTTTCACAAGTCAAGGAACTTATACACAGTTTCATGGAATAGTTGCATTGTGTCCTGCTTGACTTTGTGTAGGGGGGGTGCATTTCAGAGTCATCATGTGCCCCCCCCCCCCCGATTACTTTTTGGAATAATGTCGCGTACACCCATAAGTGTTTGAAGGCTAGATTAATTTTTATTTAAAAGTTCTGTATTGATTGGACACATTCCGTACACATTTTATACTGCCTGGAGAATCATGCAACTATGGAAGATTTGTCCTGGTACACTAGATTCCTCAGACTGTGAATCGTACTTCATTTTCCTTCCAAACAGTTTAGTGTCGAAATACACAATCTTATATCTACATTCATTAGACAATGTTTATTTTGTACTTTTGTTTGTATATGGGCAAATAAAGTGTTTTCATTTTTGAGTTCAATACCGTGTCATTTATTCCATTATGGCAGAAATTATGGCAACTGTGCGAAGATAAGTCTTTGAATTACCACAACTGTGAAAAGATAAATGAAGAGAAACTTTCATTACAATGTATGCCCAGTCAGCAATCACCAGAGAACCCTAAACATATAGCAGTAACCATAAGGTTGGTTGTTTTTCGATATTCGCACAAAGTTACACAAGGGGTATCTGTGCTACTCGTCTCTAATTTTTAACTGACAGATCACAGGGAAGGCAGTTAATCAACAGCACCCACCATCAACTCTGGGCTACTGTAATCGAATAGTAGGATTTGACCATTACTCTTATAATGCATTCATGGCCACAAGGTCTGAATCACAATTTTGTGGAGATGTCTAGGTTGCAATGGTAGATCATCTACTGCTATGTACTGACATTCTGTGGAGATGTCTAGGTTGCAATGGTAGATCGTCTACTGCTATGTACTGACATTCTGTGGAGATGTCTAGGTTGCAATGGTAGATCGTCTACTGCTATGTATGACATTCTGTGGAGATGTCTAGGCTGCAATGATAGATCATCTAC